TTTTTTTTGGTCTTTTTGAGACAGGATCTCCCTGTAGCCCCAGCTGGCCTGGAACTTGCAATGTAGACCAGGCCAGCTTTGAACTCACAGAGATCTGCCTGCCTCTGCCTCCCACATGCTGGGATTAAAGGTGTGCACCATCACGCCTGGCTAGGCCCATATTTTAAAATATATTCTTTTACCATTTCTTATCAATTTAGAAGCAAATGGCAAAAACACAGGTCTTCTACACTCATCCCTATTCTCACTTTTTCTCTACACATACACACTCTCTAATATCACTATCAACATCTCCTTTTTGGTCATATCATTAACTATTGTTTATAATATTAAAACCATGCAAATATTACCTCTTCAAATTTTCTTGGACAGGAAATATGTCCAACAAATACATATTACACTACTATCACCCCCTTTAGAGCACTAACTGCTCCATGTTTTTCACTAGCATTTTTTCTTTCTTTTTTCTTACAATTCAATCCTAAACTTGCACTAACTGTCCTGCCCAATTTGTTTACTTTAGGACTGCTCAACAGTGATACTACTGCCATTTGGGGACTGGTATTTGTCATTCCTGGACTCTAGTCACTGTCGTTCTTTGCACTTTCTCTCCTCTCAAACTCAAAATATTTTCAAACATTGTCAAATGTTTGGGGGCAGGGAAAAGCAAAATCACCCGAGAACCACTGACTTAAATTTATCAAGTAATCTATGGATTCTCTTTGTTCCTCCTGTCTGACTCATACCAAGCTGTTCTGCAGCTACAACTTTCATTTTTGAGATTTCTATTTGTCTTATAGTGGCTCTAGCTCCATAGCTTACTTGTCTATGCTCTTGATTAACTTCCTTATTTACTAGAGAATACCATCCTATAGCTTTCTATAAAGGATTAATAACAGGAGGAGACAACCTTTTTTTTTCATTAAAAATTTTTTTAAATTTACTTATTTTTTATTTTACACATATATGTTTTGTCTGCATGTAAGTGTACCACATGCATGCAGTGCCCACAGAGGCCAGAAAAGGGTGTCAGATCCTTTAGAAATGGAGTTACAGATAGTTGTTGGTCGCCATGTTGGTGCTGGGAACCGAAACCTGGTCCTCTGCAAGAGCATCATGTGTTCTTAACCATTGAGTCATCACTACAGTACGCTCTTGTTAATTTTTAACATTTTTATTTATGTTTTGTTTTGTTTTTTTGGTGGGGGAATCCAACTCAGGAATAGTGCATGCTAGACAGGTGCTTTATAACTGAGCTACATTACCAACTATCAACCCATTCTTTTTTAAAATTTACATCCTTATTTCTGGTATCTCATTTCTAGTTCTCCAAACTTTTTCTTTTTGTTTTTTTAGAAGACAAGAATTGAGACAAGTTCTCAGACATAGCCCTGGCTGGTCTAGAGCTGGCTGTGTAGATCAGATTGGTCTGGAACTTTCAATGATCCTCCTGCTGCAGCCTCTTGAATTTTTACAGTATTTGGTAGAGAAAAATCTTTAAGAGCATGCTGACGTAGTTTGCATAGAATATGCTGTGGTCTCTGTTATTTTGATGGATTTAGTCTTATTTTATTCTGTTTTTCAAGACAAGGTCACTCTACGTAGCCTGGACTGGCCTCAGACTAGCTCTTTATATTTGAATATGAAATGTCCTACACAAACTCATGTGTTGAACACTAGGCCCCCAGCTGGTGATACTGGTTTTGGTAAGTGGTGGAGACTTTAGCAGGTGGTGTCTACATAGAAGGAAGTAGGTCACTGGGAACATGCTTTTGAAGGTTATACCTGGTTACCAGTCCCTTCCTCTCTCTGGGCTTCTGTTTTCTTGAGGGGGGATTGTCCCTTGTGAATATGACTTCATGGTATGAGGTATTTTAAGGCACCTTAAGGCTGAAGTCATAAAGCCTGTCTCACTTGAACTTTATCAACTGTGCAGTACTTCCCAGTATCCCTCTAGGTATAGCACAGATGTTAGAAGCACAGGCTCTAAAGCCAAATCATCAGGCCTGGCCTCAGTCCTGCCACTGACTAGTTCTATAACTCTAGGAAAATTCATTTAATCTCTCTGTAGAAGAGAGGTGTAAAACAGTGCCTCTCTCAGAAGATTATAGTAAGAATTAATTCAGTCACTTCATTAAGTATGTAGACTAGCACCTGGAATATAGCAGGTACTCTACAAATGTCTAGTTCACATAATAAAAAATAAATACAGCCATTATTGTCAAAAACTTGTCCCCTTCCTGCCCCCTGTGGCCTGTCTTGCTCCAATTCCCTTTTGAATCACAGGACATTTCAAAGGCAACCCCCAAAGCCTTAATAATATTCTGCTATTTGTAGTCCAAGCTTTTTCACACTGAAATTTCAGTGATCCTAACCCAGCAAGAAAGGTGTAGCCTCTTTTCAGGCATTCACAGCCTGGTAGAGAATGTGATATGGACTTGTCAGGCTAGCCCCTACTCATTCCCTCAGGATATTGGTCTTTCTCTGACTCGTTTCTAAAGAGACCATGTAACAAGATGTCCCCACGTCTAGCATAACAATGCTCCCATCCCTGGTTTTCTGTGCTGGGGCAAGTCATGTCAGTGAGGATCCTACAGTCATATAGACTGTGGCCATTCTGCTAAGCTACCAGGTCACCCTCCCTAATCTGTACAGTGTACCCCTTTTCCAGACTCACTCATTAATTCACTCAACAGATATTTATTGGTCATCTAAAAAATGCAAACAATAGGGGTTGGAGAGATGATTCAGTAGTTAAGAACCCTGACTGCTCTTGCAGAGGGTTTGCTTTCCAGCACCCACATGGCAGCTAACAACCATCCTTAACTCCAGTTCCAGGGGATCCAATGCCCTCTTCTGACCTCCATGGGCGCTGCATAACACAAAACAGGTACACTTACATACACACAGGCAATACTTATACACATAAAATAAAAATAAAATAAAAAATGCAAGGAATCCTGAATTAAAAGATACTGCAGATTTCTACTATACTGTACTTACACAAAATTCTGCACTACCTCACTGTTCTAGAAGAGTTCTCAAATGATTTCAGTTTATAAGGTACAAACAAGGCTTTATGTTTCCACTCAACAAGCTTGCAGTATAGAGACCAGAGGTGAGAAGATGAATGGAGGTATAATAAATTGTAATAGCAGGACAACAGAAACTGTAAGAGTGAGCCTAGAGTGCTATAGGGGAACAGAAAGAACAATTAACTTAGAACATGGAATGAGGAAGGAGGATAAAAAGGAACTCCAGGAAGAGAGGACAAGAGAGCTCATTTAGGGCTAGCCTTAAACAGCAACTGTTTTTTCATTTTAGGTGTTCTAATCTGCCAAATTTTCAGTGTTATACCTTTAATCCCAGCATTCTGGAGACAGAGGCAAACAGATCTCCAAGAGTTCAAAGCCCGTCTGGTCTACATAGAGAGTTACAGGCCAGCCAGTGCTATATAGTGAGATACTAAGCATGTTCACTTTGTGGGCCTTTTTTTTTTT